AAGAATCTGTCATGCAATGAAAAGTATTTGTTTCATTGTGTAACTTGCCATTCAACAGAGAATGGCAGTGAAACTATATGAACATATATGAATTTAGTGCAGCATCATATACCCTATACTCCCATAACGGGAAGGAGCCCAGCCGCTCGCTGCTAACGGCATAATGAGGCAAATCTATTAGCACTCTCCTTGATTGATCTGCTGAGTAGCTGAGCGCCTGCTGAGCAACAACAGATAAATCCTACCAACCCATAAAACAAACAAATTAACAATCAAAGTATCTAAATGACCCAAGCTCGTTTAATGGTTAAAATAAACCGACGCAATATAAAGACATCGATCTATCAATCAATGATCAACTGTTACTGGGACTTTTGTGTCCAATAGACTGGAAGTTCCAAGTGGTTTAATGTGGTTTTACTAAACCTCACCAAGTTGTGTTGGTTTTAATTCACTTTGTAAAACTACAACCGTAATCTGTCATGTACCTCAGATCTCAAGTTAAACACTTGCGATTGCAAACACTGACTTTGACTTTGTTGAACATAGTCCTAAATCTGTTTCTTGTTGTAATTTGTCTCCGTGCTGTCTAAACTCTTGGTAACCAAGGGTAACCACGACCCGCCGCTGTCGCCGGCATCTGTATCTGTGACAATAAACCGCCCCGACGTGGCTTTTCCCTTCGCTGCCAATGCTGAAGGCTCCAAAAACTCTGTCCATATGTGAAGCCTAATTACTTTTTCAGCTGGTCCCTGCCACAAGGTCGCACTTGTTATGCCGCCGTCCCACCCATGCAATCAGATCCCTCACAAAAGGGAGCTAATCTCCTTCCTTCACAAGCCATTATCTTGATCGGGACTGGCTTTTCGCGCAATTTGCAATGCCGTCCAGATGAGAGAATGACTTTCCCTTGGAGGGATTGAGGACGCTCATCAGTATCCCACCGTAAAGTTCCCAACTGTCAGCCAAAAAATCCACCGACTCCAAATTGGAGTTAAAGTGAAGAGGCGTCCGGCTGGAGAAAGGCCAAGACAAGCAGACCCGCAGCGGCAGATGCCGATGAAGGTTTTTAATGGAGTTGAATTGATGCGCGCAGGGCGCTAGCTGTCCTAGTGTGGGAGGCGTGCTAGGCCCGAATCTTTTCAGGGTCACAGGAGTCGTTATATCGATAGACATCTGCTGAGGCTGCATGCAAATTTGCGAAAAACTGACAGATCTGCACTGAAAGCGGAGATAAAGATAAATTGCATTCCTGCAATGTTGCGAATAGAGACTTGTTTACTCACATCTGCCAGATAGATAATTCTGAAAAGGTAAAGTGTTCAAGTGCTCAGTAAGTGAAGAACCACTAATACTCTTTTCTTGTTAATTGTATTGGAACTAGATAGGCACATTTTGACAAAGAAAGCTTCTGTCTTCTATTTTACTTTCAGGCTCATGCTCAAGTGTACATTTGTCCAATAAGTTTGGTTTTAAATTGTTGCATGAGGGTATCAAAAGCGGGTGTGTGAGTGACAGCTCTTATTCTCGCTCTAACAGGCTCAGCTGTGCTCAGCCCACAATTGGTCCTGAGTGACATGTGGGCGGGACAACGTTTGAATGCTGCTGGTGACTAAAGATGGCATATTTGATCCTCGAGCAGTTTCAATAAATTTCATTTTCAAATCCCATTTTATGCTAAACAATACACAATCCAGACCATTCTTGTTGATGATCAGCCTTTGATATACAGCTAGGCTGTAGATCTCCCATCATTACAATTTGGGCCCTAATGCATCGGCTGCCACTGACCTAGACCATAGAAGTCAATGTGCAGCATTTTTATCTGATTTATTTTGGAGGTAAAGGGGTGCTATTCAATCAGGGTTTAGTTTTCTGACAGCTAAAGACTCCAAATGAATTACTTCATTAACTAATTGACTTCAACTGTATTCAACTGTATTTACAAGGAAACATACCTATGGTGGTGTTAAGTATAAAAAGGCTGTTGTCTCTGTAACAGGATTATCTGGGTAACCCTGATTCTGCCTAAGAAGTCACATTTAAGGCTCTGGAGCCCCGTTTCTCTGCTCAAAGTTCTGGGCCAGAGTCGCTTTAGTAAGACATATGGATCTCAGAATATGATTAAAATGCATTATCAAGGTCCAGTTTTCTCTATTGTCAGATTTTATTTAGGGAGAATGCAGTGGGACGTTTCACCTTTATTTTGAAGGGTGAAACGTCTGCAGTTGAACTGCACTGCCACCTGCTGGTACTCGGCTTAAATGTGTTCTCCTATTAACAGGAAGGAAAAAGTTGTTTATCTACTATTTCACCACATAGAGGGACAATTTCTCACTGAAACACACAAACACCCTTAGAAGCATCCAGGGGACCTGTGTGACCCGGGGTCCTGACCGTGGCTCATTTTATTGTGGCGGCGTAGTGTCGGTTATTTATTATAAGGTCAGAAAAAGCTCTCTGACTCTGAAAATTACTTCCTGGACACAGAATGAAATTGTGTGATTAGTCGGCTTCTGCCAAGTTCCATTAAGAGGAGAATTAAAGTTGATTTTTCAAATGAACTGTCGTGCCTCCGGATAATTAACGGTGGTCTGTAAAGGGGAAATCTGACCAAACAGATCATTGCTATCATTACTCTGGATATTTTATTCTTGCTTTTGAAAAATCACCTTTTACTGCATGATGTTAAGTGTAATGCTTCCAGAACTATTTAAAGGGGAAGCACTACAGGGGAATAGAGTAAAACATAATAGATCCTCATAAAACCTCAGCAGTTGGCCACTTATAATACTGGAAATGTTTCTTGTATTTCAGAGTCTACATGTTTTTTTTGTTGATTTGTAAATGACACATTTTGTTATTAAATATGTGCGAATTTCAACGCGTTTTAACAACATCAATGTGAACATCGGATAAAGTCTGGTTCAGAATTCTTGTTTCATTTTATTGATATGTTGGTCAAGTTTTTTTTACAAAGATCTCTTAAATAAATCAGAAAACATATTCAGACTTAAAAGAAAATCTTTTTTTTCAAAAGGTCTTAATCAGTGAAAATATCCTCAATGCAGGCAGCAGAGAGACATCACATAAAATATTAAAATGATCTTTGTCCTGCATTTAAAATCCTTGTTGCGACGCAGATTCCCATCACCTCGTGGCACCTTCTTTGGCTCAGTTTGATGTTCCATGATGCTTCTGGTGCTCCTGGACCTTTCCTCTCCGTGAACGCGGCCATGTGACCCGCTGAGCAACACCGCCATCCGCTGCATGTGGTGCGCACGTGCACTGTTGGCGGTCACTGGCATGGACGGCTGTGATTTCTTTTTCTTGTGTGTGGGGGCGGCTTCTCAGAGGACCGGAAACAAGGACACTGTACGAGAAGAAGTCCGTTTACCATTTGTAAAACAACCATGTTGTTTTGTGGCGTTGCTTTTGCAATGTCATCTAGTTCGGTTGTATTGGAACATAGTTATGAACAAAGCGTTCCATTCTAGTCCTACTAATAGATACCCCCAAATGCTGCACACTGGGCCTTTATACGCACAAGCAAGTCCAATTGAGAGGACTTAAAAGTTAACTTCTCATTTTATAGCTGACTGATCTCAGATCCAGCGTTTTGGAGCAGCGCTGTAGACGACGTACCTGATGAGGCTTTCAGAGAGCGCTCTGAGGTTTCTGCTGTCGCCCCGACACCATGGAGGTGAATGTAATCATCTTCTCCGGGGCTCAAAGAACTGGAAAATCACATTTGAGCTTTTCATTGAAATCTTATTTTACCGCAGAGATAGACCCACTGAGAATCAGTTGAAAGCGAGGTATGCGGATAATTCACACCAACTGGAAAAAAGGCCTCAAGACCTAAAGCGGCCGTCTGATCTCATCACTGTGAAGATGTATTTGTGGAGATGGACGGGTGACGGTACATTCAGAGGGTTATGCAACGGATTGTGATGCTTTGGAGTGCTGGATGTCCATTTAGTGCAGCTCCTCTGGCCGCTCATGGTGCGTTTATGTCTTACTTTGTTTTCATTGGAATGACACATTAATGTTATGAAGTGTGCATCATTCATCGCTCTGTTTGCTCTTTTCGGGGGTCAATGTGCCGACATTCCGTTGTTTTTCAGAATATTTGCGAGTCAGAATTGTGACACCATAAACATTACGGTGCACCACTATTTAAACCTGTTGCTGTTTCAATCCATCTGGTTTTGAAAGAATGATAGTAGCATGAGTAACATCCAGTAATAGTGGCACTAATCGATCACTTAACGCATCTCGCAAAAGAAAATACACTTGTGTTGCCGATCAGCTTGTTGGTGGGAGACCTTCAGCAAAATATGAACAGACCTAAAATCAAAACGAAAGCCTCCGTTGATTCAACACATTAAAGTGTCTGCTGAAGGAAAGTTTTTTTCCTTTTGAGGGAAACTACAATCCAAGTAGCCAAGTAACTCCACTGAAACAGTATATTTGTTCACTGTGAACAGCGTTGTGTTTGTTTGGTCCTACTCCGGCTTATTAATTATTGAAAGGCAGATTTGTTTTACTTGATAAATGTAATTTCTCGTCTCCCCCTCATTGTGCTGCTCATTTCCTGTTAGCTATTTCCTATCAATAATAAACCACCAGCCCGCGCTAATATGAGCACGCCCTGATCCAACGTGCACTGTGTTGATATTAAGATAAGTGCATTTCTGATCATCCAGAATGTATTGTTGCACCAGCAGCAGATGAGTCTGCTCATCAATAATCTGGTTCATTCAGAAACACCGTAGAAGATGTGACCGACACTATGCGTTGTTTGTTTTTTCATAGTCTTCTGTGGCATTAGTGACAGTGTGGGCTCCATGGTAACGCCGACATCTTGGAGTACAAGCGGGGGCGGGGCTGAGCAAAAGCTCTATTTGACCATGTGGTTGCACATTTCTCGTGGTGGGTTGGTGTAAGTAAAGTGGGGAGCCGTTAGATAAAAGAAAAGAATTGGCACTTCACAGCGGTTTTGTATCATGAATCCTTTAATCATGTCTTTAAACCAGATGGGCTCCGAGTGCAGAAGAAATATACCAATCAATCAATCAAACTTTTATTTCAGACTCAAGGTCCAGAGATAAAGAGTAAATAAATATAATTTCTCAGAAATACACATTTGGCTTGATGCTCAAGACTTTATTTTCAGGACCTATATTTGACAGGAGCAGAATACAGTCAGGCCTCAATGCTGGACGCACAATCGAAGAGTCGGACCGCTTTCAAAGCAACGACAACGGGAAAAGAACAGAAACAAAACATGGCAGCTACGAGAAGAAAGAGGAAACCCTACGTTCACCTCTCGGCAGAGAGCACACCGCCTGGTCCTCTCAGGCGCCCCCCCCCGGGCCTCTGGGACGCCCGTCAGTAAGTCGTACTCCGCTTCAAGATGTACGGCCTCCGGGACTTGGTGGTGTGCGCCGCTTGCCTCTTCAGGATGTACGGGGACTTACGCTTCAGCGGGTTGTCCCTGTTCCCCTCCAGATAGTCTTGAGGGCCACGGAGTATCTGTGGAGGGGCCAGAGAGACACGCGGCGGTCAGGAAGAGAGGCTGCCGTGGACAGGGAGGAAGATGATGAGGAGGGGGAGGGGAGGATGGATGAGTGAGTGAGTGTGTGTTCACATGTTTTTAGGATTCCCTGTCGGTAGAGACGCTGTTAGCCTCATCGATCATTAAGGCCCGAGCACGTATTTCCCTACTTGAGCTGATTTTTAAGTGGCTGAGATTGCTTAAAAAAATTAGAAACTTTAGTACAATATCCAATACTGGTTTTGGCTCAATGGCTCTCCGAAACCGTTTTCAAAGTAAAAGTCCAAAGAAATGTGTGATGGTTTGGTGTGTGGTATATTTAACATGACAACATAAAATAGAAAGCCTCTTGGATGTCCATCACTACCAAAAGGGAGTCAGCCCTTTTTTATTTACTACACAGTGTGAGTATTTTTCTTTGCGGTTTTCAGGCGCTTTACTGAAAATGCAAAAATACAAACTCCTCGTAGCGGATACCTTCATTTTACCTTCATTTTCTTCCTGATTTACATCAGAACCAAAACAAGCTTCCATTTTCAGTCAATCAGTCAATCAGTGATATTTTATTCTGAGCTAACTATTATATGAACCACCACAGCAGTAATAGTTCTTATTTTAAATAAATAAGGTTAATAATAATGTTGGCTGAAAGATAATGTAAAGTTTTGGAATTTACAAAATTGAATTCAAGTAATATGTAACATCTTTGTAAGAGTGCAGGTAAATAAGAGTTCCTAAAATGAATATGTTAATAGTTTATGTTTAAAAAAACACAGTAATACACACACCCTCAGTGCAATGGATGTGTGTGTGTGTGTGTGTGCGCTCACCCTCTCCTCCCAGCTCTGCAGCGCTCTACAGAGGACTTGCAGGTTGTACAGCTCCTCCCGCAGGTGGAGGCTCCCCTCCCTCAGCTCGCCCTCCTCCTCGCCCTCCTCCTCGCTGCTCCACGCCTCCTCCCGCACGCCGTTCAGCATCCTGCACAGGTCGACCAGCGACACACGCCAGTAGGGGGCACTCTGCTTATTCTGTTTGGCCTGCAAAGGAAGATATTTTAACATCTACTCGTTACATTTCTCTGTTCAACCTTCAACTTTTTCTGCACAAAATTAAATACACACAAATTTGCTGTCTTGACCATTAGATCAAGACAGACACAATAATGAGAACACGAACGCCTCAAAGACCCTTGGGTGTCGCCGAGAACAATGGAGGGAACACTCCGAGGAATAGAGTCTCCTCTGATGTCGTGAAGACGGGAGCCAAGATTTCCTTTCTTTGCCCGACGGGGGGGAGGAAGACCTGCAATAAAATCTTTAGAGAGACTTCATAAAGGACGACACTCCTGGAACCGGACGGGGAGCCACTGGCATCACTCATGCATTTTACACCTTTCGCTTAGTTTTAAATTATCTGCATGAGCGCGATCAGGGGTGCTTTCATTAAGTCATAGGAGGGATTCTCTCTGATGGAGCTTCATCAGGATCCTCCCCCCGGATGTAATTAATACCTTTGAGGGACGTGACTACGAGAAAACGCAGGGTGTTAATTGTTGTTAACAGATGAGCCTTGTCTCTCGGTAGGTAGGATTTTCTATCAGGGACTGGCTTCGCAACATTCAGCTACGGCCATATTTTAAAATGACTTCTGTTTGACACTGAAAGACACTCCAGAAGCTCAATCTACATTGAAATGTTGATTTAAGTGAGGGATGCATGGGCCAGATGGAGGATGAACCCCAATACATGGCTATCGTGTGCAATAGAGAAATGAGAGCCACAGAGGAAGTCTACCTCCAGCATTGAATCAGATAAAAGGAAGATCAATCAGTCGCTGTCGGCTGGAGAAATTGTCACGTTGATATTGTGACATGAGGCTGGATATCGTCTTAGATTTTGCATATCTTCACCTGGCCCAGGTTTTGGTTTTGACTCTTCTAGCCGGTCTATGAGTTGCTTCCACGTAACACAATAAGATTTGTGATAAACATCAGTAAACAGATTCAACTGCAAAATGGGTGTAATGTCGATGAAGGTATTTGGTGAAAGATATCGGGACCACTGACTTTCTCCACATCACCCATCCCACCTTGACTGTGTGGGCTACAGTTAGAGACCGAGGGCCACGTGTACCTTCGGCACTTTGCGGCTGCGTGAGCACTCTGTCACCCGGCTGGTTATTATTTCAATCATCGCCCCGCTCTCTGAGCAATCTCCAACAGCATGGAATCCCGCGCCTGATTGGTCACGGTTACCTCCGAGTACGAGCTGAGCAATTGTGTAGCCTTTTGGGTGCGAGATGCGCCGCTGCGATGCAGTCGGCTCCTCCTGAATCTCATCACGCTCGCACCATCCGTCTCCTCGTGCACACTGGGTACCAACTCCATCTCTCGGCTTTGACGGCATCGAGTTTACAGCTCATCTTTTCATCTCAAAAGTGGATGCCCAACTAGTGCAGCACTATAGTTTTGCTCTGTACATTTGAACCGTATAAAATAATCCTTCATTCCCAACAAAACAAGGTCACGGTGAGTAAGTTAGTCATTTAGTGAGGACTGTTAGAGTTTGTGCGGCTGAAGCACCAGGAGTTCTCCTGGTCTGTGTGTCGGCTCGGCTGAAGAGACGTGAGGGGTCACAAGCTGACTGGGCGGGTTGTAAGTCTTTAGTCCCTAATGTTACAATAAAAAGAGAGGAAGAAAGACCCCCCCCCCCCCCCTCCTCTCCCCCCATACCTTAGAAGGGAAGAGACTGCGGACTAGCTCCTCTTCCAGCGCTTGCGGATCCCGGTCGACGTCTGTTGGTCAGAAAGATAATCTGTAAAATAACCTTCAACCAAATCTAATAAACAATAGAATGAATCCCGTAGAATCGATGACTTATAAACGTCAATGAGAGACCGGAGAGCGGCGTGCTTGTTATCGATTCGTCTGTTTCATCTTCCTCATGAGCTGGAACAGTTTGTAACATTTACAGACGGGCCGCATTTTTATTTGTTTGATTGACACTTTTAAGGGTTGTTTTACAGAGCTGAGAGTGATCCACACACCACCCATCTAAGCCCTCTGATTCCAACGGCCGTTATTCATTTTTAAGAATTCATTCAAGTTTTTTCCATCTTTCCATCTTACGGTGACAAACATAAATATGGTTTCCTCTGCTGTGGGTTATTTAGAGGCTTATAGTGTGTGGCGGTTATAATAGGTTTAAAAACATCAATACATTGGATCATTGAGGGAAAATGGTTGATAGGAGCGTATGCAGGATAAATATATATATATATTATAAATAGAATATATATTTTTGCTAATGTTGCAAAGGTATAAGCCTCCTGAAGTATTTTTTGATCAACTGATTAAAATATACATATTTATATATATTATAGAATATTTATAGAATACAGTTTTGTAATACTGCACCTGTTGCACAAAATAAGTTATGCAAGAAGCAAAGATTTGTTTCATTCTCTGCTTGAGTTTATTTCGTAACCATGAAGGGAGTTATTGATTGATGATAACATCACAACAGGATGCACGTTAAACGAGCCAACGGCTGCTTACCTGTACAAAGTCCACCACATGTGAAACAGAGGAGAAGCATACACGCCAGCTGTGCCTGCATGTTGATGTGAAAACAAATAAAACTCAAACCGATCCTCAAGAATTCACCCGATGACGAATCTAGTCCACAAGGTTAAAGGTCAGACTCCAAAAGCTGGAGATTGGGTAGAGATGCTGCTGCTTCCTCTTCTTCTTCTTCTACAGCACGCTGCCCCTTCCTCGCCGTTCTCTGGTTGGTCGTGTAGTGCAGTAGGCTCCATTCCCCCCGGTTTATAAGAGCCAATGTGATGTCAGAGGATCGGTCCTCTCTCTCCTCATCTCCACCCACCGACACAGCCCCCCTTCCTCCACCCGTCAGCCCCTCTCCTCCTGTGTCATCGATTCATCAGACGTCACTTGGGCATCACAAACTCATTGGGTTTCCTGCGTCAAGCTTTGGGAGATTTGGTGATTTAGAGTCATGGTGGGGGTGGGGGGGGGCACTGGGGAGGTTTGTTTAGCTGTCGTCTCATAGGGAAGATCTTTTGGGGATCTTTAATTTTACAAATGATAGCGGAACAGGGGACTTTCAAAGCCAATAGGAAAGAAATACATCTTAGTTTTAAGGTATAAATATCTGTAAATGTATTCTTATTTGAAAGTTTAAGTGTATCCATATTAAACTCTCTCAGTAGACATAATGCACTGCTTGTCCAACACTTTTTTTTTTAACTAAAATGATCATTTAAATAGACCTAAAATGTTAATGTGACTTAAATACACATCAAGTCAGATAAAAAAATCTCACCACTATAATCCTTTTACAAGAATTGATGAGTGGTCATAAGATTTGGATTTTCAGATTTCCGTGTTTCTTCTAAGGACCTAAAGGACACCTTCTTCATGTTGGCTTAACCTGAGGTTCAAAGTGAATAAAGAAAGAAAAGGAATGTAGCAGCTCCTTAACAAAAACATAGAAATCTGGCTGAATAGCAACACCAATCATTTGTGGTTTACAAATATTGGAATGTCCATCCATCCATCCATCCATTGTCAAACCGCTTATCCTGCACACAGGGTCGCGGGGGGGCTGGAGTCTATCCCAGCCAACTTTGGGCGATAGACAGGGTACATCCTGGATTGGTCGCCAGCCAATCGCAGGGCTACACAGAGACATACAACCATTCACACTCACATTCACACATCATCATCATCAACACAGGTACTGATTCAGGCTCTTGTCATCTCCCGCCTGGACTACTGCAACTCCCTCCTGGCTGGTCTCCCTGCCACCGCCATTCGACCTCTGCAGCTCATTCAGAATGCAGCAGCTCGACTGGTCTTCAACCTTCCGAAATTCTCCCACACTACTCCACTCCTCCGCTCTCTTCACTGGCTACCGGTGGCCGCCCGCATCCAGTTCAAAACATTGGTGCTCACGTACCGTGCTGTGAATGGATCGGGTCCAGCTTACATCCAGGACATGGTCAAACCCTACATCCCAACCCGCACTCTCCGCTCTGCATCTGCAAAACTACTCGTCCCTCCCTCACTGAGAGCAAAACACTCGACTAGGTCTCGACTCTTCGCTGTCCTTGCGCCGAAATGGTGGAACGAGCTCTCTGAAGACACCAGAACCGCAGAGAGCCTTCACATCTTCCGCCGCAAACTAAAGACACACCTCTTCAGACTCTACCTCGACTAAAGACTAACAAATTGTAGCACTTAAATTGTACTTGTAACGTCACTCATCTATAGCAAATTGTAAATTCGCTTATTTGAGGAAATTGCACTTTCTTGTTTCTTGTTCTCCTGAGTTTGTACCCTATGGTTGAATGCACTTATTGTACGTCGCTTTGGATAAAAGCGTCAGCTAAATGACATGTAATGTAATGTAATGTAATGTAACACATACATATTGGAATGTGTTTATGAATTTTCTACGGAGTCCCACAGGGATCCATTCTAGATCCTCTCCTGTTAAAGCATTCAACTTTTACCAAACATGCCGTTTGGATATTTCTGCGGTGACATTTGATCCTTTTGCTCTGATATATTTCTAACCTGGAAGAACAACATATCAGATATGCAGAGATTAAGATCCTCAATGTCTACATACGGTGTTATCACAAAATTCACAAGATCTTCTCCTCTCAAATTTCTGTTCGGTGCTTTAGTGTCGACTTCATATGCAAAAAATAATTAATCACATAACTGCTTATGTAAAATACTAGCAGCATTGCTCTCGCAGTACATTTTTCCATGATCTAATTAAGTCAGCTTCTCCCCGTTTTTTGACTTTGATAATGTGGTGTACTCTAAAATAAAATGCACTTTGTAAGTAAGTCAAAGCGTCTCAAATCAATTGTGAATTAGTTTCACACTAATTGGTCCCCACAGAGAAATTCTATCCTTTTAATAGAGAGAAAATATCCCATTCGGAGCTGCTTCTGAACAATATCAAAGTGTGAAGAGAACAGCCAGACTGGAGGTGAAGCAGGATGCCCTCCTCTCATGTTTGGATTTCATCCCTGTAGTTTGAATCCAGCATCAGTCCTCCGCCACTCTGCTCTGCTGCCGACTACAGGACTTGCTTTTGCCTTTTCATTAAACTTTACGGGCAATTTGTAGAGAGGTCTGATCGTCAAAGACAGACCATGTCTGCTAACTGCACTGTATATAATGACTAAAACTATGTATAATCTATATTTTTTATTAGAATATGTGTGCAAATTGTGCTTTCATTGGCATTTTAGTTGCAACTACAGTCCTTCCAAAAATGATTATCTCTTGTGCCATAATGTATAGTGTATTTTATGTCCTATCCTCATGTCACCAGAAGAACCATGTCGTTAATTTAATTTTATCCTGCATTAGTCCACTTTATTGTGTTCAGTTTAAATCCACATGTTGCCGTTTGAGGCCTTGTTATTGTCAGAATGGTTTCATTTTCTGGGTGTATTGTTTCTCAGGTTGCCCCTGCAGGTGGAAGCGGAGGCGGCACACACACACTCACACGCACACACACACACACACGCACACACACGCACGCACGCACGCTTGACAGCGCAGTGTGGGAAACACCTCCCTCCGCCTCTCGGATGGGGCGGACAGACTTGCTGCAGTCGGAGCACCCTTCAACTTTCCCCCCAAACAGTGCACAAAGTGTCCGGCGTCGTGCCGTGCTGCGGCTGTAACGCATCTCGGATATCTGCTCCGCGCCCCCCCACCCCCCGCGCTCCCGCGTCATGGCTCCGTTCGGGAAAAACTTCCTGAAAGCTCGACAGAAAAACAGGTAAATTGCTGGTGAGAGGGAAGTTTCTTCACGGGAAACTTGTCGCGTATGTGCGCGTTTTTTGGGTGTTTGGGAAGCAGTGCGGAGGAGGGAGAATCGCGCACAGCGCTGTACGGGTGCGGACAAAGTCTTATGAAGCAGTTTTGTTTTTAAATTACATTACTTCTTGAGACCCTTAAAGTAACACAAAAACATGGTGCTACTGGGGCATAAAATACATCTCAGAGTAAAACCAGTGCTCCATAAAAACACAACCGACGGTAGGAAACAAGGTCGCAAACTAAAGCTAAAGGAATGTTAGGTTATTGTTCTGTGTTTTATTTGTTGTCTTCTAACCATGGAGCTGGTGCAGGCTGGGCAGTGGCACCCGGGCCCTTCTTGTGGGGGCGCAAATAGAGAGCTGGCCCTCCAACAGTGTGTTAATTGAAGAATGGGCTCAGTGGGATTGATGGAATGGAGCATTGCTGATATTATGCCAATACGGGACTGACAAAGTTATATCGGTGTACCCCCATCACAATAAATTCTACAAAGTTCTCAAAGACAATGATCAAACGGTGCCGTTTACTAAATGTTCCCATGAAAAGGCAAACCCAAATGCATTTCTGTTTTCTCAAGAACTATTAAGCAGTCAAAATATTCTATGAATTGAATATATTCTTATTTTCTCTGGTATTTGTTTTATGTGCATATGAAATTATGATTGCTTAGTTATAAATAATTTGTCTGGTCCTCTTCCTTGTGAAAGTACACTTTACTGTATACATCAACTTATAACAGCATCTGCTCTGCGCTGTAATTACTGTGAAGATTATTTTTTTAAATTTAATACGGATTACATTAAGGTCGAGGGAGATCCTGTCTTCAGCGCTCCTATAACTATAATTTCCCCGAGTGGCCTTTTGATGTGACCCATGGCTGCGGCCTCAGCGTTTCCCAAAGTTGGGAAAAAGAAAAGATTTACGCAGCCACAAACTGTTTACCGTTATTGGTGCACAAATTCTATGCGGACTGTTGACTGCCGACTTTGTTTTGCAGAGTTTGTAGACATGAGTTTCTCTTTTTGAGGTATCAAGGTCACGTTCCAATCCCTCGCAAGGCACGGACAGGTTTCATGTTGCCAAGGCCAGGAGCAGACCTGTTTTCATTAGCTTTTCAAAATAAGACTCACTTACCACCAGACTCGACTTGAAAAGTCTTTGGATTAAAGATCAGAAATAAAAACAGGCCTTTATGCTAAATTGCTGTAAAAAAGGCCTCTGTTCTGTGACAGTGGCTCCGCAGCAGAATGGATGTATTTTCACATCACACACAGAGCTTTGATAACTTCAAAACCATCTGACTGAGGCTGTCTCCAGTGGGGTTCTTATTTTTTTTTCATGTTGTGTAGTAATTACCATCGCAGCACCTATAATTACCTCGAGTGTTTAGATCTGCAGACATGTCAAACGCTTCAACTCAGAGACACGCTTTTACTCGGAGCTCTATGTTTGCAGAAGCATCAGACGTGGAGTCCCAGTCAGTTCAGAACGTTGTCCGACTTCAGAATAAATGTGGCGCTGGTTACAGCTGCTTTGATCCCCGGAGCCATCAAAAGAATCACAGCGCTTCATCCCGTGTGTCACACTGGCCCGATGAAGCCCGCTTAGGCCTCAGAAAGGGGTTCAATAGTTAACCAGCCAGCGACGCAGCAGCTGGACGCCGTCTCTTGTGGTGAAAGAGGGAAGAAAATTTTGGTTTGTTTTCAACGAGCACAAACTTATTTGGTGTTTTACAAAGCTGTTCGGGGGGTAATAATAGAAGACTGGGTGGGTTTTCAGAGGAAGGGAAGTGATGGGTGTGTTGTGTCTCTGTGCACAGATGCCTATCGAGAGTGGGAGTCATCCAAGAGATCACCATGTGCAGATAGAGAAATGATGTTATTTCCTCGCTGATCCCTCATCCTCTGTCAGATAAGAGAGAGACAGAGGAAGCGCCTCTCGTCCGGTGCCGTAAACAAACACAGAAAACACCTTCCTTATCCTGGATATCAAAGTTTGAAACGCTTTAGTAATATCACCATTGGAAATGTCTCAAAGGACACTTACTGCAGACCGCTTCCCTCTGAAATCACTTTGTGTATCTCAACTATTGTTTATTCAGGGAGTGTACTGTAGGAAGTCACAGTGGGGTAATAGAGTTTCCACAATAAGTATTTATAACAGGTTTTACCTCAGCACCGTTTTTCAGTTCAAGAAAACCGCTGGGCTAGTTGAAATGTTCATTCCAATGGCAACAGGATACGTGTGCTAATACGCCATCACAACATCTGCATGACCTTATCACATCACTATTGATCTGAGAAGACACTGCAAAGCCATAATTCTGTCATTTGTCTTTACTTATTCAAACCACCAGCATGCTCTGCTAATTTATTACAGACAATTGTTTGTCATTACGAGCATTGCGGTGGAAGACAGCGGTGCCTTGACGACAATATTCTTATAACTGAAATGTGGTTTCCACCCGCATGTCTGATGTGTCACTCAGTATCCGAGCCGGTCGGATCAAGTTGAGGTTAAGCAGGTCTGCTCAGGTTTCCTGGGTTCACTCGAGCGTGAGATGTTGAGGCTGTGGCGTTACGCTTCACGGCAAATCCATTGCCATCATTTCATAAGGAAGTCTTAATTCTATTGCTGCATTCCCAATTATAAGAATATCACAACATCTGTGTTATTTTTGTAAATGATTCCCCCAAAGCTGTGGACGGGGCCCACCCTGTACATCACAGGTACAGCCCTTATGAACATGCTGCCGGGTCGTGGTGCGGGTGGCAGGGAGTCGACTGCAATCCCAAAGACTAATTACGGCAATCACATCAATGATTTCATTATGATTACGTCAGAGTAGCGTTGCAAACCGACCACGGCGGCTCCATTTCTCCTCTCCCCTCCCCGTCCTGAGCTGCGGGGGCAGGATGTTGTGTGAGCGTTGGTGATTGTGGCCCAGGACAAATACAGGTGTTTCCCCGCTGTACCCTCTTCCTGCACAGCTGAGGGCTCGGGTCAGCCTCTGTGCAATAAACACATTGTCCGTAGAGCGCCTTGATTGTTCAGACATGAGCTCACAGTTACATGTGTGGGCCAGCGTTAGTTATTGTATCACTGAGGTTCATGCGTGCTCGGCCTCGCACGCTTTTCCATCCTCTCATCCATGTATTGCAATGCCGTCCGTTCTCAAAGTTTTTAACACCTTAAGACACATCCGACATTTTAAAGACTGTGCGAATGCAGCTTTTAAAATGTTGATGTAACAAGTCTGCATCTTTCATACTGTACATCAAAGTGCAATCTAGTCAATCTGATTCACCACGATTTATAGAGATGATACATTTTACAATCAAAAATTTGAATTGTTTGTTCTGTGAACTATAATTGCTAATACAATACAAGTACAATTATTTGTGTCCAGGAGTTTGTGGAAGTTAACTCACATTTGTTTATTTTATTAGACCCAAACAAGGATTTTGCTTCTGTACTTTTCTTTATTATCACTGGATCCCTCAGTATTAATAATTGTATAACTTCAGAAACTGCCCAGCTTATAATGTTTGTACTGAATATACAGGTGGGGGTTTCCTGTCCTGATCTGCAGCAGCGTGTGCAGGTTCCTTCGTGGAATGGGTGGGGGGGGGGTTTGAAGCTCTGAGGTCAAAGTCGTGCTTGTTGTCTTTGACTGCTTCAGGCATGCTCCATTTGTTCGGCTTGTGCATAGCTCGGGTATTTGCTTTGCCTCGTTCGTCTCTAAGGGTCTCCGTAACTATTAACCAGCCTGTTGGACTGTCGCCTACGTATCGCATTCCTGAGACCTTATTCAGCGCCGGTTTACACAACGTCCCAGTTGTGTGTTTTTGTGCCGTGTGGGAACCAAAACAGAGCGATATCAGATTGTAAAATCAGCAAACTGTGAGATAATGCAGCATTTAAGTCATTTAAGTGTTTCTTAACACATCTCACTTGCTTGTGTTGGCGTGCAGGCGGGTTTTATCCGTTGCATCTTCAGAGGATGCGTGCTTGTGTCCTCCCTCATGATCTGCGGTAAACGTAGGCTGCGCTGAACGGACAAACAACCGGCAGTTACACGATGAAGAAGAAGAAGAACACCACCCGACATTTGATAGTGAGGCCGAACACGTAAATGGTCCATAGATAAAGGCCTTTGTGCGCACTAATCCATTAATGACGCGATGCGCGATGGTGTTGCGGCCTCAGTGGACGGAGGCGGCCGTCTCGGTGGCGCCATGGAGCTCCTTTATCCTAAGCTGAAACAATCTGCAATTATTGTGATAATAAATAGTTCAGCAGGAGCCAAGTGTCTCAGGGATGGTCTTGTTCATTTGTGTAGTTCATTTAGGGCATCAGCAGTTAAGACCTCCTCAAAGTGACCTTAAAAAAAAAAAAAAAATTTGAAAGAAATACGTTATTCTGATTTATTTGAGCTGTTGCCTGCTTGATTTCGTGGGTGAAGGCACGTTGGTCTGCGGTTTGTCCACAGGGTTAGAGTTCCCCCTCAGAGAAAGGAACTCCGTTTTTGTCTCCTTGTGTTGTTCTATACATCATCCTTCTCTTTTCCTTTGGGATTGAACTGTCTGCAATTACTGGAGTATCACATCTCACTTTATATTGCTATCAGAGTGGGATTTAACTTTAAATATGAGTAATTCCCCGACAGTCGGATACAGTACATCAGAGTCAGCCTAATAGATCAAAACATTTCTTTCATATGAACGTTAATATGATACATCATTTTTTATCTTGAAATCAAATTGAAATGTCTGGCAAAGTTATCTACGTGCTCCTTATCGGATTACTTGTTTGTGTTGTGGACGTCTGCATTGCCGGTGCCTATCATTTAAGGACTGGATATTAGGTCCTGGGTATTACCGGTGGTCCATTAAGCATGTAAAAAATGGATATCATCGGCCCATCACAGGTCAATTTTGGAACAAGTTTTACGGTCTAAACGAAAAGCTAATGAGTGCCTTGGGGTTAAATAGCTCAGAACTGAACCATTAAGTGATCATCAGTGATGAGTAACAGTCTAATAGAATCAAGCCAGGGAGCACAAAATGAGCAAATGTGGTTTTCTGCTCATTGACCTAATGGAAAACCAGCAACATTAGATCTATTTAAGAAAATATAGAAAGAAAGATGACTTTTAAAACACGAGTAGGAAAGGATGGATCCTACTGCAGTTTGAAGTAAAGCTCTATGAAACCTGCTATAAACACAACTTTTAGATTAGTTATTTACAAAAAAACTAACCGCAGACTTAATAACATAATGTATCGTATGTAATCCCAACATACCTTTGTGACAACCGCACCTTCATAGCATGTCCCATCCTATCACCTCAATTCCTGTCACATCTGGTATGTAAAGTAAGGTAGAGTCTAGTATTGAGCAATATGGCTCATAAATAATATCTCGCTCGGTCAGGCTGTGACGTGATATACGACCCATGATATCGTACACACTGCTCGAGCAAAGGTGAATATAAATGATTCTGCAAATTCTTAAAGAACACAAAAGTCAACCTTGTCGTGGTGGCAAAGTCAGGAAGCTTTACCCTCTTGGGACCAAGCATGTCAGTTGCAAAATGAAGACCTGTTCGTGGCACCAAAGGCAAAGCCAGAGCATTGCAACGTCAATAAGGTTTATCCTCAGGGGACCCTCAATACAGACTTTTTACTAACCATCTAGTAGATGTTGACATATTTCAATAGACAAATAAAAACTTAAACCTGACTGTGGGCCTAGAGGTACCTCAAGAGAATTAATTAGTTTCTTTCTGTCCCTTCATCAGGACAAAAGAGGCCGAGCCAGTGGAAGGGAAGGAGATCCAGGTGACGGTCGCCAACGAGGACAAGGTTGTCTGTGGAGTGACGAAGCACACCACGTGTGCAGATTTGATTCAGGCGTTACTGGATGATCACAAGTCCGTCCCGGAGAGCAAGCGCCTCCTGCACGGGGACGCCAAGGACTTCTGTCTCGTTGAGCAGTGGAAGGGTTTCGAGAGAGCCTTGCCTCCTCTCACCAGGATCCTGAGACTCTGGAACGCCTGGGGCGACCAGAGACCCAACATCCAGTTCACTCTCGTCAAAACCAACGATTTTGTGCCTCAGCCCGCTAAGAAGGGTGCAAAGTCCAGGGGGGCCAAGCCAAAGCGATGGGAGCACGGTCGCGCTGCGTCCACCCAGCCTCTGCCGGTGGAGCGGCAGAAGCGAGTGGTTAAGAAAGCTTTCCGGAAGCTCGAAAAGCTGCACAAGGAGAGCAGCAGCGCAGCGGGTGCGGACGAGATCGACCGGATGGTGCAGCTCATCCTCAACCAGGACCACGCCATCCAGGACCAGATTCGACGCATGAGGGAGCTGGACTTGGACATCGAGGAGTTTGAGGTGCAAATGCAGAACGAAGCGGAGCTTCAGGCGCGTGCTCGCGGTTTGGGGGCGCACAGCGACGAGCAGCTGCAGGAGTACCTGCACACCAGCGACGGGGTCGAACAGCTCGAGCTGCAGGTCCAGAGGCACCGGGAGCTGATCCGCAGGCTGTCCCGGGACATCGATGCCGAGCTTAGGGCCAACTTCCCCCAGAGCCATTACGAGGGAGGCGAACAGGAAGGAGCCGCGGCCGCTTCCTGGATCGACTCGGAGCCGGACGGGTCGCTCTGCGCCGCCGATCTGGAGGGGCTGCGAGATGAGGTGAAGCGCAGCCTCTTCGCCGGCGTGTCCCTCCACAGCCAAGCTGCAGAAGTGGAGAAGCAGCTGAAGCACTATGAAGCGACGCTGGTCTCCAAGGATCAGGAGTGCTGGCAGCTGGCCGCCCAGCTGAGTTTGTTGCAGGTCGGGGACGGAGGAGGAGCGGAGGGGTCCGGCCCCGTCCTGCCGAAGAGCGAGACCCGGTGCGGCGTCTCGCAGGCGGTGAAACTCACACCGTCCCCTGCAGACGTCACGGACACAGACTCAGACACCGGGATCAGCTCCACACACAGTCAGGACTCGCTGTCACCGTGTCTCGACTTCCCTCTCCCGCTGGACACAGACGTCTGAGCGACCCGCCTGAACCTGCAGTTTAGCGTTCTTGACTTTACAGGCGATCGTTAATAAGAGCTGAAAAAATTAGTTTTTTAGTTTTTTAGTTTATTAAGAGCAATGAGAGAGATGATGGATAACTTTCAGTTATAATATATATATATAATTTCAGATTTTGTTTAAAGAAACTGGTAAAACAAGCTGTGGTTTCAGCTTTCCAAGTCAAATACGACGTAGTACATGATGTGAAATTTGTACAACATTTACAGTATATAAATCAAGCAGGTGTATTTATCCCAAATTTGAATTTCATTTCATTATTTATTTGTTCATTTTTTTAAAGCAATGATTTGTTCAATGAAAAAGTCATTCTTTTTAATCCAGATTTTTCAAAAAGCTGCAAATGTTGTCTGTGACTCCAGTGTAACACATACAAGGCACAAAGCTCCAGTTATGTGTAAACCAAATACACACATATATACAATGTAAAATAATTACCAGTGACTTAAACTGTTGTTGTTTCATTTCTTAATAATGGTCAATGCTTCATTTCATGTACTTGTACTTCTTTGAACACACTTAAGTCTATTAACACTATTGTTTTATATTAAAACAGATAGTTTGAGAAGTGTTTTGGATGTAGAGTTAAAGCTTTGTTTGAAATGTAACATTCCTCTCGACTACGCTGTAAATATGCTGCTAAAGCCCCTCTAGATGATTGTTCTTATGACACAGGCACCATTTCTAAAGATATTACAGATATAACATTTATTTATCACGTCATCGTATTTTCTGATGAGATTCTATCATGACTGATACAATAATCTCCACCTGCTACAGATCCAACACGCGTGTGCCTTTCGTAATAAACACTAATACTTTAACCGTCACGGAGTAATCCCTCATCCGTCTCGTGCTCATTTCAACACATCACTAAAAGGTGTTAATGGTAAGGCCGCAAGTCAAGGGGTTACATTTGATTAGATAGACTCCCTTAAAGAGTCAGCACAGAGAACCCCCCCCCCCACCCCCCCAAACCCCCAACCCCGTCACCGCAGCATGCAATCAGACAAAGATGGTCGCCATGCAGGCCGGCACAAACAACAGCGAGCACTCTCGCCCTGCTGACAGACTAACACTTTGTACTCGGGACAGAGCGAGGGCTGCCGGCTGGAGGAGCCAAGGATATCTATTTCACAGACCCCCCCCCCTACCTCCCCTTCCCCCCCACCAGCCTTCACCGCTTCAAGCCACTAAGTAACTCCACCAAGCATGAAGGGCCAGAGATCTTACAGCGTGGACGCCCTCGCACCGCCGCCTCACTTTCCGACAGAACAGTGAGGTTTTGGGGGATTTCTGTTTTTTTTAATGTGTTTCCCAGGAGGTAGGAACCAGGCCGGGGTAAAACAGGCCTTCAGTTGGAGGTTATTTTCATGCAAATCGGCCCCGTCTTGAGTTGCTGGAAACGTTGAAGGAAAGGAATGTTGAATAGCTGAGCCTGTTTTTCGAGCGAGGCCTTTAAAACCCGTAACACACTCAGCTCACCTCATTATTTTATTGACAGACATGTTGAGGCACCTGCCGTTCTCACATAGCATACATACGTAATCAACTGTTGAAGGACCTCCCTGTCCTTCAACGGCACAGAAAGACGTCTGACAAAGCCCGCGTAGTAGTAGTTCCAAGCCTCACGCTAAGAAAGCAGAATCATAATCGCCACGTTTCAGTGTTAAGAGTCTACCTTTTACATGAAAACCTTTTATTTTGTTTCCATATGAATAAATAGTTAAACTTGTTTCCCAGCCACAGTGTGACCTCACTTCTTGTTTTCAGGGAGGGTGCAGGTTCAAGTGATGTTTACCTCCTCCGCCTGCCGCGGATCATCAACTCAAAGACTTGCCAACTCGCAAGTGTGTTTGCAGACAACAATAATTACGCTGACCAACGTGGCAATTAGGCTGAATGTGAGCTCCCCTCCCAGTTACACTGACTGGCCAGCTTGAGTAAACCATAATTTGTTATCAGCTGCTGTTTAAGTGCTGACTATGAAGAGCTGGAACTTTAAGGGGGGCTCATTTCCAGGTTCATACTTGCTCCCAGGAAGCACGCAAGAAACGTACATCACCAGAACGCTGCACTGCATCTGTTCCAAGAACGCGCCTGACTGCGAACCTCATATGTTCACGTGGGGTTATTTTATGATTCTGCCGGAAGCACAAATCAATCATTCCGATAAGTACGGCACAGATTTGTTTAACTTTCATCTCGCTGCATTTAATACACTCTGAGTGACGCACTGAGGACCAAAATTTAAAAATTGTTGGCGACATTAAATGATTTTCATGCAGCGTCTCTGCACCAGAACTCTTCAGGCCCAGTTTGCATTCGACTCAGACGAGTCAGGACTCGTGAGAGTTACTCGAGGGCCTCGGGTCTAATTGCCTCAATCAAAGCACATTAAGAATCCCATCCAAGAGGCATGAATCATTCAATAAAAAAGAGCCCGAGAGCAATAAACTGTCCCTGCTGCCAGGCAGCGACAACAGGGCGAGCGGGAAAAAGTGACAGTGGGTGTGTGTAGGTTTGTGTGCAGGTGTGTGTTCGTTGTACGGCAGATGGTGGGAAACCGGCTGGCTGCTCTTTTAAAGAAGAGGAGTTTCAGAAATATGATCTGGGTTTTGTGCTTTCTGACACTACTTTACATAATATTGTGCGTTCACCAAAATGAAATTGAGAAACATTTTCCGCGCACGCACAAACACGCACAAGCTCTTCAGTCCACACAGCTCCCCTCTTCGCAAACACTGGATGTGACACGGATGTCGGTTTTGTGTGGTCGTAAAACCTCAGTCTTTGGTATTGGACCCGTCTCATACGAAATTACAACCGTACGCACCATCTCCTCTGAGTTTGGAGGTTCATTAGTCAGTCGTGTTGACCTTTCAAAGGTCAATCCAGGCATCACTGTTTAGGGAACATATTTAGCATCTACAAGATGAAAAGAAAGGAAAGTCCTGAATGAATCCAAAGCGACGCTCTTCGATGGGACTCAAGCTTTACTGTCCCCCAAAGAGGACGAGGATGAGGACGAGGACGAGGAGCCGGCGGTGGCCTCTCTCCGATTGGCTGATTGCTGTGATCGGACACTTCAGTACACGTGGAATTTGTTCATGGTCTCTTCACCGCTTCACCAAACCTGCAGCTTGACCTCGAGGCTCTGCGGTTTCCCTCCACCGGCTGGCGAGTCGTGTTGAGGAGATTGTCAGTGTGAGTCACAATCCACTATCGGCAGAAGGAGAATAGACGCATTGCATGTAGATTACGCATGAAAGCTGTGTTTGGTGTTTCCACCATTCTGGTGGAAATTGGATTTTGATCTCAATAGGGAATACAAAAACATCAACAGACGCTTTTGCTCTCAAATGAATTCCTCTTGAGAAAGCCACTGCGAGGACTCTAGTTTTCATTCAATTAGTGTTGGTTTTGAGCTTCATTTGGTAATTTGAACTTGAAAGGTCTTTGCAGTCAAGTTGATAGAATCAACACATCCCATCTGCCCGACATTCATTTGAAAAGCAGATCCTGTTAAAGGAAATAAAATAATAAATGCCTTCCACATCCACTCTAAATGTTGGTCAACCATAAAGGTTGGATTCCTTTCTTAATTTCTTACTACAAAACAATGACTAATCATTTAGGAGCTTCTGTTCTGTTGTTATTTTCCCAAAAGTGAGCTACGTCAATTGCCCCGAATGTCAGAAAATTATAGTTTTCTTTTTTCTTTTATTCAAAAATGTATAGATTTTCTTCACTTTTCCACCTTATTGATAGTTTTAAAACGTTCTCCTCCTGCATGTCCGCTACGTTCCTCGTCAACACAAGCACGAAAAGACACTAAATGAATACGATGCAGAAACAAATAAACAACGCATCCTAACAGCAAATTGGCCATGAGAAACGCCCCAGGGACATTGGGATATCTCTGTCATGGCATCCCTCAGGAGGAAGGAGAGACTTTGAAGGAGCAGCTTGGCTCGCACAGGGTTTTAAGTGGCAGACTGCTGACAACCAACGTGGCCCATGTTAGATCTGCTGCCTTTGATGGTGTCCGAGAGGCTCTCTTGTCTCCGGTGCCATGTCGAGGACGGATGAAAGCACTAATCTAGCCGCACTTCCCCTCCACAAGCTGGCACTTTGAAGGCACCAGTCTGTTTGTGAGATTAATATGGTTCTTGGCTAATGTCCTGGGAGGGGTCCGCGCATTGTCGCGCCCAACAAACCTACCCTCGCTGCATCGTACATACACGCACAAAGCAGCCAAGTGCATGTACGAGTGGAAATACACACACACACTCTTAGCTTTTTAGGACCCGCAACCCACAGCCACTGTGCCTTTCATCGCGCGTTGCCATGGTAACTGAAAGCACAGCTCCTTGGAAGTTGTCACCATCTCTGTATTATGAAAAAGGTGCGAAAGTCCCCGAGGAAAATACTCAGCAACGTTGCTTCCTGTTTAGTTGACTGAAGTTTGCCTCCTCACTGTCATTCATATTTATTTGTTTTTGGGCAGCATTGTTTACCATGAAGATGCAATACCTTCTAAGTTAATTTTCTCAGATGTGCTCGAATTCATCGCATTTTCAAGTGAACACTGCAGTCCTGGTAATCTGTTTTGCTTTGCAGACTGCCTCTCTGTCTCTTCATCTCGGCGGGCAGGGAGGCTGCATTGGATTCACAGCGGAGATCGAGGCCGTGTTGACTCTGACACAAAGAGAGCTGCATTCCTGCGGCCCTAGAGAGACCAGGGTCCACCCCCAGGTGGGCTGGGGTCTCTTTGCAGCGCTCCTGTGCACTCGTGGGCAGTAACTTCCTGCGATGCTTCCTGTCAAAAAGGGCTTTCGGGCCAGCGCTGGTAGGAATGTGAGGGCAATGACGAGTGAGGCGGCCACAGAGCCGGGTTACAAGCGCTGGCACAGGGTCATTTTTATGGGGGGCGGGGGGGGGGGGGGCTCTTCGAAATTGTGCACAAGCTGTGGGAAAATGTACTGAACTGGTGTCTGTGCTCCCCTCCCTCCAGCGTGGTGCCTGTTTGGACAGCCCTCTGCATACCCTGATGGGCAAACTCCCTGAGCCTGGCAGCACAGGAAGTGAGGGAAGTAGTGTGTTTCTGCAGAGAGAGAGGTCAGTGCTCACAATGGGGCTGTGATGTTGTCTTCCAGGGCAGCGTTATAAATCATGCATTGGTTAGAACTTAACTGAGTAGAAGAAGATCAACAAGAAAAAAAAAACAGTGAACCTCAATCTTTGTTCAACAGTGCTACACACTAATAATAGACTCAATGTATATGTCCCGGGCATATAATAAACATGTATGGCATAACATTCCCCACTGGCGCTCACTTTATCTAAACTGATAAATATGTTTGTCAAAAACTCCTGATTTGAGACTTCTGCAGACTGAGCACAGAGTGAACCTCACGTTTACCTCCTGAGCCACAAACCTGTGAATGAAAATGAGTTTTCACTGCAATTGTAAGAGAAATGGGAAACATTAGGCATTTATTCCTTGTGGGTTTCAGGTGATTGACTATCAAATAAGACCTAAAGAATTGCTGTTGTTTTTTCGCTTTTGATGTGTTTTCTGCTGGTTTTCTTTGATCGAACCGGGTTGAGTTGGGACAAGATGTTCAGCTTAAGTCCAAACAGCTGCTCAAGTCATATTAGAACATATACAACATTAATTTGCAGTCAGTACTGATATGGACTGTGTGCAGGTACCAGCAGGAACAGTGGAGAGCGTCAACCTTCAAAAGGACCGTACATGCAGGTCAGGTCTTTCCGCTCTCTTTCAATATGCCATCATATAGATTGGTGATCACATGCTTGAGCAGCATTATGCTCTCGT